GAAGGGTTAAGTAACATGGCCACTGTCAGTCAGCATGTAAGTGGCAGTCTAATTCTGGAGTCCATGCCAGAGACTTCTGCTTCAGCCCCGGTCCCAGGCAGATCTGCAGAGCTAGTCTGGGGATCCATGGAACATTCCTCACAGGCTCATGCCGAGGAGGAGGTGCTGCTGAACCGTCTCCAGTTCCTTTGGCTATGCCTCAGTATCAGTCATGGGCTGCCGTCTCCCTGGGACTTTCTCTGGTTCCTTGGCATCCCACTAACCCCTGTGAGAGGGCATGAAGGAGCTGCTTGTCTTTAAAGACTGCATCAAGGCAAGATGATTGAAAACTCTACCCCGCAGCATAAGCAAACCTGCTTTGTGATGCACTCTTGAGAGAGGACTTCCTCCCTTTCTTGTGTGCCTGGGGCTTCCCAAGGAAGGCCTTTAGGGAGACTTAAAATCTGGGGTCATCCCGTGCTTGGTCATTGAGTGAATGACTCACCCCTCTTAAAGGACAGATTGGCAAGCAGGAGGCAAGAGGCGAATGACCACCCTAGTAGCTGTTAAGGGAGAGGAGCAAGCCCGGTCCCACTAGGTGAGGCCTTTGACCTCCTGAGAGCAGGTGATGGCTTTCCTGTCTGGTCTCTCAGAGTCTCCGCTTCCCTCTGCTTGCACCCTGTTCCTACAGTCCTCCTATATCTGTGGACTCCAAGGAGGTCCTGTTTCTCAGGCCACCTGATGGCATTGCTACATTTGCAGCTTCCCTTGCATCAGGAATCACCATGACATCCCACAGCTGGTGACCAGCAATGCAGCCATTATCAGGAGAAAAGGGAAGTCCCCTTTGTCCTTAGTTGGGCGGGAGGAGGGGGAGGACTCCTCCTGCTTCTTTGCATGAGCGTTTAGCCTGACATGGCCCAGAACAAGACTGGGCAGGGTTAGAGTTTCTTGACCTCGTGGCACTAGGCATCACCAGGCTCCTCTCCAGGTCTGGCTGCAGTAGACTCCTGAAGGTCAAAGTAAATCCCCCACATCATATGGTAAGGGTGAGAGCATTATATTTGTTCTAAGGCGAGAGAGTAGTCCTTATTACAATTAGTGGATAAAGAAATTCAGGATGATAGAAGGTTAATTCTAGAGAAATTAAAAAAAAAAAGAGGAACACATTAATGAGGGAGGTTTGACTCTATACCCTACAGCTTAATCAGGGGTCCAAAATATCTCCCTAAATTTGTGTCCTCACTAATAGTTTATGCCAGTGTGTAATGGTGGTTAATACTTTCAGGGAGAGAACTCTTTGAAGGAGGAACCATAGACAGGGTTATGCCAGGCAGTTGTTGGTACCATCCTTCTCCTCCTGTGTATCTGCATCTGAGTGTTTACGAAACAGAAACTGACTCCCAGCCTTGCGTTGGGAAAAGGAGGCCCCACAAAGCCCCCCTCCCCCCACCCCCGTGGCAGGAGCCTGGGCCATCTTCCTGTCCCATGGTCTTTCCTGCAAGGGCTTCGCTTATTTCCAAGAAAGGGGTCACTGTACTCTTTCTTGGCACCAGTTTTCTGAGAAAACCTTGTACTGTGGAGTCTGGAACATGCTTGTGGCATTTCCCAACAAACACCATCGAAATAGGAGGAGTAACGTAACTGCTGTCTTCCAGAGACCCATGGGCAGGTGTGGAGACTATAAATACCACCCAGAATGTGAGCTCTGGGCCACTGAATCAACACATGAACTGCCAGAGTTGCCAAGGTGATTTTAATGCAATTTATCATTAAACCCAACTCCAGATGTTTGTGTTTTCCAAACCTTGCAGCAAAGGCCTGTGAGCTCCATGGGACTCTTCACTGAGGAGGAGATGTGGGCAAGGACAGTAGCTAAAAATGGGGTCTCAGTGGCCTTCTGCCCCACTGGCCTCTTTAGGAGAACTGGGTATGGTGGGTCCTCTTCAGCGATCAGGGCGGACCTCATCTCCCTCCCGTGGTTCTTCTCCTTGGGTTACCTGGACCTGGAAGGGACAGAGCTGCCAGCTGCCCCCTGTGTTGAGAGCAGCTGGGACTTCTGTGGTGAGGCCAGGCCGGGTCCCCGAGCAGAAGGACTCGAGTCACGAGGGCCCTCCTGAGCGCAAATTCAGGGTATTTCACACACACACCCCCAACACACACACACACAGGCCGCAGCGCTGTGGTTCTCCGTGGCGTGTTTGCTGCCTTGCCTTTTCTGAAGGCAACAGCTCTGGAAAGAATTATCTCCTAGCAGCATCGTCATGTTGGTTAGTCAGTGGGCTGAGTGCTAATACCTCTTGACACGGAACATATGTGGAAGCCAAACGTGCTCCGAGAAGGGAGGTGGCAGAGTGCCTCGTAGGGCTCACGCTCGGAAATAAATTTAGAAGGTGATGTCCATGCGCTCCCACTCCCAAATGCGCCACTCTCCTTAATCTCCTCTGAAGGGAGCATGGCTCTTTTTGTTTTGTTTTATTGTAGAATCATCGCTAAGTTTGTGGGAGTGGCTACAGAGAACACACTGCTACCTCCTCCCATAAGCATCAGGTGACTCCCCAGGTCCCTTAGTGGGCATCAGGGTGGCATGATAGGTGGGAGCAAAATCTTGGGCTTAGATAGCGTAGATCCACTTCTCAACCTACCATCTGTGCAAGTCTGGTCACTGGTACTTAAGCCTTCTCTGTCCCAGTGGTGTCATCTGTCATACGGAGATGGCACTCATCCTGCAGGGCTGTGGGGAGATTAATGAGTTAGTGTTTGTAAGGAGTTTGGTGGGTACCTGGCCATACATCATGCTTGTTATACCTGTTAGGTCATGTGGCCCTGCTGTTCATCTGGCCTGACCATCTCAGCCCCTCTCTTCTTTTGCTTGTAAGACCTCTGAGGCATTTGGGAGGTGGGTCTGGGAGCAGGTGGCCCCAAAAGATGGTTGGATATGCTTTTGGGGAAATATTTATGAGCACAGTATGCCCCCAGCCCTTGAGTTCCTGGATTCAGCAGACCAAGCTGGGATGTAGTTAGGATGTCAAAGATTTGAGTTTGAATACTGGGCAGCCTCTTGAATGAGACAAGCTGGAGCATCTCATTTTGCATGAGGGATGCTGTTGTCCCTGCTTCATCACTGTCCCCTGATCTGCCCGGGGTAGAGTGATAATTCAGGGGAGCCATGCGTACCAGCTCCCAAATCAGCATGTGGTCAATGATCACTAAAGGTGGAAACCCTGCTTTGTACCTGTGTGAGCCCCTCAGTGAAGAACCTGCCACTTTGTGCCAATGGCAGTTTGGTGAGCATCCCAAAGAGCATCCCATCTCTCACAGCTTGGTGCCATGTCCTTCCTTAGAGTTGGCAGGATTCCTGATACCTCTACACAACCAAGAGGCAAGCAGTCTTCCCGACCCAATCAGACCTCTGTCCACCAGGTGCATTTCAAAGCTAGCAGCTCCCAGAGACGAGGAATGCCCTCCATTGGGCACGGAAAATAGAGTATGGATTTTATGTGTTGGAAAGAGTTGAGGTGGGAAGTCAGGCTGGCCCTTCACTTATCACTGGATGACCTTGGTCAAATCCGTCACCACTCTGACCCTCGGTCTCCTCACCAGCAAAATAAGGACAATCTTAGCGCCGCTCTGCGGGTGAAATAAAATGCTGCGTGGAAAGTGGTTCAGAAAATGCTGGGCCCGGGGCCGCCCAGAGCTGTGGTCTCTGGAGATGACGCTGCATTATTAGTATCACTTCACACAGCAGCCACAGACTGCTCCTCAGAGGGGGAGGATGACATGGGGCAGGGCAGATGGGGCAACCTTGAAGGAGAAAGAGGGAAAATCAGTCTCTCCAGTGAAATACAGAGGAGGCCTGTCTTCAGGACTTCTTAGGGAAGTGCTGAACCCCATTCTAAATAGCTGCTTCCTCTCTGTTTGCTCTATCACAGCGTGTTTTTTTAATTCCCCTCCAACTCTTGTCCACGTATCAGGAGCTCGGAGGTCCTTCCGTGAAAGGCAGATGAAGATGAGTAGCTGCCAACCTTCCTTACAAAGGAGAGAGGACAGAAGGACAGGCTGTTAGATCTTGCTGGTGCTAGGGATCAGCGAGGCTGTCCTCAGCATCCGAATCTGGATAAGCAGCTTAATTTTATCTCTCCCTGCACCTACATGTCTCGCCTTAGGGGGCCAAGCATCCTGGGAGAGAATGAGTGACCAGAAGACTATGCCCTTCTGCGTTTCCATCGCTCCCTGCCTCACGGCTCCGCGCCTCATGCTGTCTCTGCCTAGTAATTCTTTGCCCAGTGTCCAGCATTCTCCAGAGCGGCAGCTGGCCTTGTTAATCTGCACTAGGTCTCAAAAATGAGTGCCCACTCAGGAGAGATGGGCAAATAAATAGTGCGGACTGTGGCAAAAGGGAGCATAGGTCCTATCTAAAGGGGACACCCACTCTGTAGCCGCCTCCAGGTGATGCAGCGTTGCTAGAACTTCTGAATTTTTTTTTTTCAAGAGGAAATAGAAATCCAGTGTGTGTATGTGTGTGTGCATGTACGAGCGAGAGAGAGAGATTTCCTGATTTATAACACTGGGAGGGTAAATAAACAGATTTGCATTTGGGATGTTGCAATATCTTGTAGGGAGGATTCTATTCTCAGGCCATCAGACCTCTAACTTGGTCTCTTTCCTGAATTGTTCAGTGTTCTCTAGCAAAGTGCTGCCCTCAGAAGGCCCTGAATATCAGGGTTTGGAACAAATCATTCACCATGTACTTTATTTTTCTTTGTAAACAAGCAAACCAAACACGCATATGTGACGGGTCCATTCCCGCCCCGTGGGTGCTTGGCCCTGCTGGGTCCCTCCAGCTTTTCTCCACAGTGTCCTCCTTGGAGAGTGATCTTGACTAAAATGTAGTAGACAAAGCCCAGGAAACTCTTTGGGGAATGCCACAGAGGGGATAGACGGATGGGCGGGGTGTATAAGGCATTCATAAAGAAGAAAGCGCACCCTCCAGAGACCTCAGTTCTTGTGACTGCCTCCAGCATGCTCCCTGGAAACACGTGTGACCTTGATCAAGCCACCACACTCTCAGCCTCTGTTTTCTTACCTAAACATGGGAAGCTGGCCTTGCCCATCTGCCCAGGTTACCGTGGGAACGATGGGAATGCCAGGAAAGCACTTTGGAAAACCAGGCAAGTATTCTAGCAATGGGAGCTTTCCTCCAGGAGGACATCTGTGTGAACCCTTGGGACCCTGCCCATTATTAGCCAGATTAAACAGGCACTTCTTCCACTTGTCACCGCCACAGCTGCCTGCCTACACACAGGCTGCAGCATGGAGAGATGGCACAGATGACAGAGCCCCTGGGGGCAGCCTCGCCAACCCGAGTCCCCCCGGACCCCGGCGTCAGAGCCTCCAGAGGCAAGCCAGCCCATGACGAGTCTCCTGGGCCATCCCCCCGCAGGAGAAGCTCTGAGCCAGCCTTGTGAAAATAGAAATTTTAAAAAGTTAACATTTTTACTGGTTAGTTTAGTTCTCCCTATCCCCCCTTTAATTAAAGAGGGGAACTGATTTTACACTAGTTAAGAGGGCACAACCTGTCGGTCTAGCATCATAAAGGAAATTCTTAGGACTCAGATTTGCTTGACTTGCCAGCCCCATTCTGGAGAACTCTCCTATAACCCTCACGGCATCCCCTGTGCTGGACCAGAGTTTTCCTGGAAAGGCAACTTCCTTTGGTGCTGGGGTTTTTTGGTTTGGGGTTGGTTTTTTTGTTTGTTTGTTTGGGGTTTTTTTGGGTTTTGTTTTTTTGGTGGAGGGAGGGGTCTGAGGATCTAAAACCAGGGCAGATGGGCGCCACCTCACAGGAATGTGGTCCTCTGGAGTTGTGTATGGGGCTGGGTATATTTCTTAGCAAATGCTCATGCTGAGCACTAAGAAGAAAGGGAATAAAAGAGATGTCATTTGTGCCACCAGAGCTTATAGTCATCATAGGTGGGAGGCAAATGGTAAACAGCCACGAACATTCTGGAATCACAAATTGAGAGAAGTACTATGAAGACAAGAAACTGGGGCTATGGGAGACACTAGTGGGGGGCCTGGGGGCCTTGGTGTAGGTGAGGGGATCGAGGCAGGCCTCTCTGAAGAGGTGACATTTGCACTAAGATGCAGACGAGGGGAAGGAACCACCTGGTGAAAGGGGGTAAAGAACGTGCTCAAAGGACCTGGTCCAAAACACTTATGGGGGTGTCTGAGGAACGGAAGTGTCGTGAGTGGGGATACATGGGTGAGAGGGAAAGGGGGAGAGGTCAGGTCACATGAGGTTCCATCCATGCACGTGTACGCGTGCGTGTGTGTGCGCGCATGCGTGCACGTCAAAGCGAGAATGCGCCTGTGGGTGCACATGTGCTTACCCATGGGTGACTTTTCTGGGAGATCGCATGACCTGTAACCTAATGGGACCCGTGGTTCAAAAGAACTCTAAGGAGTTTTCGGAGTCAAAATTGCCCTCAGTCAATCAACACAAGCGTTAGCACAATTGTGCCCAATGATGTTTTTGCAATTCCTGGAAGCTCTGCATTCTGCAGCAGAAAGTAAAGCACAGCGGTGCATTTCCAGCCTTCCCCAGAGGGCACGGGCACAGGGAGGGCTCCAGGTGATCTCGGCGTGTGGCACAGGGTCCATGCTACCTGGCGTACAAGTGCCCAGACGTGTGTGGAGGTTCGGGGGCCACAGGGATGTAAGAGCCACACACACACACACACACACACACACACACTCCCTCAGCAGCAGGAGCCGTGGCTGCAAGGGGAGCGAGGGGCTCTGCAGCTTGTCCCCTGCAGGCGTAGCCCTTGCACCGCAGGGAACTAGCAGGATTAGTGAGTCACTGGCCTCTCTCCTGCTTGCAGCCTCCTCAATGCCAACAAGATCAACTGCCTGCGAGTGAACACGTTTCAGGACCTGCAGAACCTCAACCTGCTCTCCCTGTATGACAACAAGCTGCAGACCATCAGCAAGGGACTCTTTGCCCCTCTGCAGGCCATCCAGACCCTGTGAGTACGCCCCCTCAAGTGTAGCACGTGCCCAGACAGCGAGTGACCCCAAACACCCAGACACAGAGAACACCCCAAAGGAAGGCAAAGTGAGCATGTCCAGGAGGAGGTCTAGAGCCTGCAGTGAGGACGGACTAATAACTGTGGTTCTAGCTCACCTCTATTGAACACTCCCGCGCTGCTCCACACCTCGCTGAGGACTTTCCCTGTATTCAGACCTTTAGGCCTCACAGCAATCCTATGAGGTAGGTGCTGTTATGAGCCCTCATTTCTCTGTGAGGAAACCAGGGCACAGAGAGGTTAAGTAACTTACTCAAGGTTGCACAGCTAGTAAGATGCCGTATTTGAACAGGCGGAGTTGCAGCTCACCTGCTCTGTTAACCACTGTTGCCAGTGTAGTCTGAGCCGGCTCCTTCTCTGCTGATAACCCAGTCCTGCCCACCCACACCCCCCCACCAGCCTGCAAAACCCAAAACCTCTGATACAGGCACTCGGAATTTTTCACCTCCCATCTTCAGGGAGCACTTCCTCATTCCCGAGCACTGCAGATGTTCATAAGTAACTCCATTAGATACATGACACCTGAGAACAGATCTCCGCCCAGCCCGGGCCCGACCATGAACCTGGGGCTTCTGGACGCTTTCTAAGTCACCTGGCACTTACTGCCCCTGTAGCCAGAGGCAGGTGCCGATAGAGTTAAGAAGAGGCGCTGTATGTTGAACAGCGACCGCATGCTGAGCACCCCCGTGTTGGCGCTGTGAAGAGTTTTCCCGTGAGCCAGGGGAAGCCAGACCCGCGGTGCTAGCCTGGCGACGAGGAGGAGAGCAGCAATGCCCACTGCTGTGTGTGGGACACCCGTCATGTGCCAGTCAGCATGCCTGCTGCTCACGTGCCTGGCATTCCTGGGCTTGGAGAAATCAAGTCCGGGCTGCTGTAGGCACAGACCCTGAGCCTGCCACTTGCTTGGCCCATCAGAACCGGTGTGGGTCAGGGTCGAGATCAGTGGTGGGTCCTACCTCAAGTCAGGAGAGCAGGGAGACGGCCCCCCCCATCCCCCGGCTGGCTGCCAGCTGCAGCTGTGGCCCTCTCTGACCTCAGCTCCACCCCCCGCCCCTGCACCCTGCCCGAGGAGGAGGGGCCCAGCGCCAGGCAAGGTGGTGGTGCAGCGTGGCACCACGGGTCACTCCTGATCAATTCTCCTCCCTCTCGCAGCCACTTAGCGCAAAACCCATTTGTGTGTGACTGCCACTTGAAGTGGCTGGCTGACTACCTGCAGGACAACCCCATCGAGACGAGCGGGGCCCGTTGCGGCAGCCCACGCCGGCTGGCCAACAAGCGCATCGGCCAGATCAAGAGCAAGAAGTTCCGCTGCTCAGGTAATCAGGTTACGGGGCTGGGCGCCACCTCCCAACTCAGAGCACAGCAGCCCCAGAGAGGCCGGTAATCCAATCTGGAGGACAGCAAGCACTGTAATGGCTCCTCGGGAGCATCTCTGCAAATTAAATTGGGGAAATTCAGTTAGTCCTGCAGAAAACCAATTACCTTATGGATTTAAAATAAAACACACACACACAATAAAAGCATGGGGAGGGTGCACAATTTCAGGAGAGACAAAACCCAGGTGGCAGCCTATCTCCAGGGCTAGGTGGAAGCTAGGGGAGGGGCAGCCTTTACCCATGTGCCTTTTAGAGGCCATGATTTATTTTCTTTTAGTTCCCAAAGTGTGCTCCCCAAGTGGCAGATAGGGAAATAAATATCTCCCAGGCCAGGCTGCAGGCAGCATGTAATGTTGGGGGCCTCCCATCCCTTCTAAGATGGCCTTTGGTACAGCCCTTAGACCAGAGTTTGTTACAGATTTCAGACATTCTCGCTAGCCGACTCCTCCACCCCAGACTGGTGCATTCTGCTTATGGAGAGAACAGCAAAGAGCTGTGCTCAGTAGGAAAGCAAAGCCTTGCCCTCCAGTTTCCAAGCTCTCTCTGGAAACCTTCCTCCCTATTGCATCCGGGAAAGAGACCAGGGGTGAATGGCAGCAGGGGAGTTCTCGGTTCATCTTGGAAAGAGAAGTAGCCGTCCTTGACCTAATAGCTAGATGAACAGGCAGTTAAAAATGGCGATCATCTGTGTCAGTTGCTGCTGGAAAAATTCACCACACTGCGTTGTGCTCGCAATGGTGAGAGATGAATAGTATGACGTGCTGAGATGGGTTGGCACCAACCCTCACAATCTGTGTGTCAGTGAGAACCCTTCTTCTCCCTTGCCCAAGAGCATCTTATGTAAGCGAGTTCTCCCAGGGAGAATGACAACGTGGGCCCTGGTCGCCAGGAGAAGGCCAGCAGACAGACTTCTGCCTCTTTCATGTTGTTCTTGGCCTCTAAGTCAGATCCTTTAGTCCATGTCTCCAGAGGGGTAAACTTCAGCTATTTGCTTTTTCCGTAGAAACCAATACCTCAAGAGAGCTTGGAGACACCACAGGGACTCTGTGCAAAATGAGGCATTGGTCCCAACTTATCTACTGCAGAATAACAATGTCAATTACAAGAGCAGTTTCTGGCCGGTGATGAACTCTGTGCTGAGTGCCTCTAGTTTGATTTGGTTCTTCCACTAGTCCTCTGAGCTCAGCAGGAGGGGTACCCATTCTGCAGCTGAGGGAGCCAGGGGCCTAGAGGTAAAAGGGCACCCCCATGGTCACAGCAAGCAGATGGTAGAGGCAAGACCAGACCCCAGGTCTGGTTCACTCCTCAACTCTGCACAGCATGTAGGAGAGAAGGAACATTTGGGAAGGCAGTCCAACTGCTTGGGTGACTCTCTTTTGCACGCAGTCTCATGGCCCGCCCCCCACTCCCTGCAACTCTTTCCTTAAGTTCCTTCTTGGGGCTGGCAGCATCTCAGGGAGGAAAACCTTCTCCCAGCCCGGAGGTGTCACCTGAAGCACAACCATCCTTCCCCAAGGCCTTTCTCATAACACGCACCTCTTATTCCCTCTGCCCCCTTTGTTCCTCTCCAAGTCTGTCCAGGGCTGAGTTCATTAGCTCTGTCAAGCAGTTGTGCCCCAGAAGAGGGGCAGTAAGACACGGAGGAGGATGGGGTGCCAGCTACTGACCCCAAACCCTTGGTCTTCCATTGTGATCTCAAAGCTCCAGATTGATGCCAAGACCCTGGGGGCAGAGCAGGAGTGGAATCAGTCCAGGGTCCAAGGACCAGCATCTCCCAGGGACCGAATCTGGCCAAGTGCCTAGGAATGACTGTAGGCTGGGACTAGGGGTGGCAGGGTGGGGGTGCAGGCAGAACTAAGTAGAGAGAAAAAATAGTAAGCTGACCTAGGACACAGTAACCTATCATTCTCTTGCTCTGCCCCTACCTCCCCACCTTTGCATGGGAGGGATCCTGGCTGCTTTTCCTATGGAGGGTAGGAGTGGTTGGAAATTGTAAAAAGAAACAGAAGTTCAGGGTTCTTGGACTGACCCTGTCTAAAAGATTTTTTTTTAATCAATACTAAGCAGATTATTCCTATAAAGGTAGAGGACGTCAGAGCAGATGCCTGACATCGAGCATTCTATGTGCTATTACTTCATGTAGCTGCAGAGAAGAGAGGTAGAGAGAGCTACTGGTGAGCATCAAAGGCCTTGGCTTTGACAGACACTGGGGCCCAGACCTGCCTTGGCTTTAGGGGATACAGAAGCCATAGGTCTAAAGCTCTGTGTTTCCAGGAAGCTCCAGAAGAAGGAGGGGCAGGTGACACATACTGGAGTTGACAGATAATAACTCCTCATTTTACTTTCCCCTAAAAGCACCCCCATTGCAAAGACAGCTGATGTAATTAGAAGCCAATTTGAGGGCTGCTCCTGCAACGCATAAAGCCCCTCCATAGGCAGGGCGTCTGGCTGCCAGCTGCCCTGTGTCTACCTCTATCAGCTGCATCCGCCGCCCTGGGCAGCAGTCTGAGGTTAGAGGTGAATGCTGCCAGCCAGCGTCATCTGACCATCGGATTAAGTCCCCCTGAAAAGGCACCGTCTGGCTGCCTGGGACTCCAAGCCCATCCCCACGGGAGCACTTGGCAGTTGGAAGATGCTGCCTGTCTTCCATCACCGCCCCCCCCCCCCGCCTTGGCGTGTAGAGATCTGTCGGCAAGAAGAAATTCACAGGGCAAAGTACAGAAGGTGGTGACACGGTATGCACAAGGATGGCAAACCACAAGACACTGCCTAGGGCATCAGAGGCTTAGAGACCTCAGAGATCGCCCAGTCCCTGCTAGAGATGATGAAATCAAGGCCCACCCAGCAGAAAAGTATTGTCTGAGGTTAGAAAGTAGTATTTTCAAGACGAGATCTGAAACCCCGGACTTCCGATGTACTGTGAAGATTTTCTCCCATGTCCCTCCATTTCTTTTTGTTGAGGGACATCAAAGAGAAGGTTTCAAGGCTTGGGGGCAGGGGCATGAAAGGGATGGATTTTTTCCCTGCTCTGATCAAACTGGAATGTGAAATCCCCAAACCAGAGTGTTATAGAGCCCTGCGTATCTAGGGGTCGAAGCAGGGTTGAGACCAGATTGCAGTGACCACCTCTAGCCGGTCGGATGGGAAGGCTTTGAAAGAGGTCAGATCTGGGTCTGTGATGTGACCTTGACTAACTGGTGAACCATTGCAGACAACCTTTGTATGCGCTGGCGAGATGCTGTGACCATCTTGTCCCAAAAACACACTGAAGAGGAACAGCGACTCCGTCCCTCCTATCAGAGGGCAAGAGTAGGGAGGTTCCCAGTCACCTGGCCCTGACTCTGACCTCGTCAAGATGTACACATCTCCTCCTAGTGGCTTGGGAGGAAGTTCGTAAAAACTGCCCCTAATCTATTGCAGATAGGGATCTAGGGACTAGGCACCCTCACTTAGGCCCACAATACCCAGAAAGAGTTGGTTGTTGGTCCGTCTACCCACTGCCATGATTCACAACCATGGAGGAAATCTGGAAATCAGGAAGGACCGTAGAATCTGGTGTCTTCCCCCTTTCCTTCCTTCTCTTAGTCTGAAAGAGGCCACTTATCATGATGGGAACTGGTCACCTCCTCTGTGAAAGTCGGTGTTCGCAGACAGTTGTGATTGTAGGTTTCCCAGTCCCAAACTCAGGGCCCTATCGGCTTTCCCATCTTTCTCCCTGGCTAAGGTCACATATTTTCTTTTGATGCCATACTCCCCCTCCATGATACTTCGAGTCATCTTGGATGAATGTCTGTCAGCCAGAGGGTTTCTGGGCGCCTGGAAGGGTAATGGGGAGACTCCTGAGGTGTGGAATATCAAAAGGCTCTTTTCCTAAAGAAGAGCATTGCAGCTTTGTTAGCCCACCGGAAGTTGTGGCTTGTCTCTTCATTTAAGAGTCTGGGAGATCAGACTGCTGCGGATCCACTCTGCTATGGGGATGGACAGGTTGCAGAGCATGCGGAAGATGCTTCTGCTAAGATTGATGTCTTGGCAGATCGATGGTATGATTGAGTGGGATTCAGAGGTTCAGTGCAGGCCTTTTTGCGGTCATAATTCCCTTGGGAGGGCTCCGTTGCGCCCTGATACTTCTGCGTAGGGGTATCTAACAGTCTCCCACCCGTTCTTCTCCCCTTCCCACGTGTCTCCCCTGGGAATGGGCTACAAGGGGGGTGGGGCTCCTGTCTTCGGAAGTGTTCCTGTGGAACCCTGCTCCTGGTACTAATCACGCTCAGTGGGGGCCTGCTCCGGCTTCCGCTTCTCCACGCTGCTTCCTCTGAGCGCTCCTGTCCTCTCTCTGACGCTGCTTCCTGACCTTGACTCTGACCAGTCGCCGCGGGGCTTTCCTTTGTGCTTGATCTAACCATGTGGTGGAACGATGGAAACGGAACATGGTTCTGTCAAGCACCGCGGAAAGCACCGCGCTCTCCTGCAGCATGGCCCGTCACCAGCACCACCACCACCGCTGGACACCTCTTCTCTGCTCTGGAGCACCGCAGCCCAGCACCTGCCAGACCCACCTGTCCCGGTCTAGCCTCACAAAGGGCGGGAGGGGGCGGGTGCGGGGGGGAGTCTTGAAGGATTCCCAGAGCACCTCCACCTCCAGGTAGCAGATACGGGCTGAAATGGGTATGGAGAAGCACACGGGGGACACGCTAAGATCTATATCCACATCTGCTACCCCAGATGGAGTCGTCATCCCCCAGATCTACACTGGATGCCGGACGAGGGGTAAAGTAGCGAGGTCATAGCTCAGAAACCCCTGTTTTCCTTCTCTTCAGAGAGAGCACGTACACCGATGGCATATGCCCCATGGTTTCCTGGCAGGGTCCCAGTGCAAGGTCATTTTTCCCAAGTGGTAGCTAACCCAAAGGTCATACTGCTTGTGATCCACTCCTTACCCGCCATCTTTACCGGAAGCATTGGGGATGGATGTGAGCATGAGAATGGGTGAGAGTGGCGTGAGTCTGAGACTTTGGATTTAACCTGTGGCCCCTTCTGAACCTGACCCCCACTCCTCATGAGTACATTGGCCCTGGTCCCCCCCTTCCCCCCCGTGCAGCCTAAAGTCCAGTCTGTGTCCTTCACCTTCCAAGAACAGTTAACACGGTGGCCTAGGTGCTGGACTCCTCACATGGTGCTCACTCAATGCCACATAAGGGCTATGCAGAAATCAACTGTCTCTGATAATAAAGAGAGGGATCTTGGCACCTCCCATTCTGCTTGTTTCTTGGTAAATCCTAGGCCCAGTGTAACTAGAAGATTGTTTTTGGTTCATGCCATGGAGTCTGTGGGTCTCGTCCAAGATAAGAGAGAGCCGTGGTGGGAACCAAACCCTGGCTTAGGCCTGGGAGCCGACTCTGGCGTCCCATGGTGATGTGTGACTCTCACTGTCTCCTCTCCCTCAGGTCACCCCTCAGAGCCAGGGCCCAGCCATGGCTGAGTAACAAAGAGTCGTTTGCCTCTCTGGATGCTTTCACCATATACTGAGTGCTTACTATAGGTCAGGCATCGAACTATTTCCATCATTACCTTCTTTAATTTTTATAACAACCTTATAAGGCCCATTTCACAGATAAGCACATCAAGTCAGAGAGGTTAACTAACTTGCCCAGGGTCAGATGGCTGCTCTCTCTAGCTGTAACACTCAACCTTCCCAGCTATGGATAAACCCATTGCCTTGAATTATAAAATGGGAAAGAATGACAGGATTGACTTGAATTGACAGGGAGTGGGCAAAAATTTTACCACACCCTTTCAAGCTTGCTTCTCTTGATGGAGAAAAACTTGAGTAAGCAAGTGAGCAAGCAGCACAGTTTAAATGGCTCCTCCCTCCAGCATGGACAGACCAAGATCTGTTTGATACAGAACAAATCCTCGAGCCTGGAGCAATTCCCTATCCTGAACAGGGGGGCCGGGCCTCTGGAGTGGGTCCACGATGGCACCTTCCTGGGCACCTCCCTGGTTCTGCAGTGCCCAGCCACAGGCCATGGGCCTTTCCCTCTGCTTTTAGGCAGATGGCTGCATTCATAATAGACTCTGATGGGGACAGCTTACAAGGACAGCTATCTGCCCAACTGATCACCAAACTCCTGGTGAAACAGTTGACATTTTCCAGCCACTGGTGTCTAATTCCCCAGCCTTTGCCTATGAGCGGATAACTGTGTGCCTAGCAATGTTCTCTTGATTCCATTCATTACTTACGACCCTTTGCTTGTCCACGTGACTCTCTCTTCAAGCTGATGAACTCCCCCACCGCCCCAGTTCCTCTTTCTGCTCCTTTTCTCCTTCCATTCCACCCATGTTAGGGATATTGGAGGTAGAAGAGGAGAGTTCTGGACACATGTGTTGGCAGGGCCATGGTCATCAGATAACAATGAATCTATGACTTTCATTCAACAAATGGGTTGCCTAAAGAATGACACAAATCCGGACGGCTAATGACAGGAGCCATCCTGGGTCCAGCACTGGCCTCTGCAGCCAAGGCCATCCAAAAAATGGGAACTGTGGCTCCCTACCTGCTCCAATCCCATGACCATCCAAATGTCTCTCCTGGGAAGTGGCCATAGGGCAGAGATTCGTAATAAAATCGCATTGCTGTGGATTTCCACCCCGCAGTCTATTAAAGCTTCTCTGTGATCATGTACCAAGTGTCGTTGTTCTGAGCTGCCCGCAAAAAGGGAGGAGGGCTACAGGGGCAGGAGCAGGCAAGATGCCAGATGACATCAGCTCTCCCATGACCCGCTTCAGCCGTCGTTTTGTTTTATGGCCCTTCTTCAAGTCCTCCGAGATCTCTGCTGTCTGAACTCACCCCAAAGAGATGAAGCAGCGGCCTATTCAGTTACTCCCCTCCTACTAAGTATTTCTGGCAGTGACAAATATGCATTGAGATTGAAATGGACTTTTAAAGCTCTGGAAAAGTTAAAAATACTTTTGGGTAGTTATGAGCATTAGGCATAACAAATGGCTCCGAGAAACCCTGGGTAGTTTCGGTAATGAAATATGAAGTGCTGGGGGTGGCATTTCAGGCTGGCTCTGACTGGGGAAGGAACTCTTTGGATTCTGGGCAAACACCGTTATTAACATTTCTGGCTCCCACTCGTATAAAATATCACACTCCGACCCCCTCGTTGTTACAAACCAGGGCAATAACAAGAACAGCAGGGGGGAATGCTGGAAAGGACATATTAGTCCATCGAATCTAATTGCAAAATCATTTCATTAAAATGGGTCAGCGGTTCCATCGCAGAGGTCCACCAGTTATAATCTAACTATACTACAGAGAGCGATTCCTGCTAACTACAGACGCTCTCACCTTGATTAAAACAAGTTGGTGGCAGTCCCCGGCCACAGCCCAGCCGGTGTACATCTTCAGGCTCATCGTGTTGAAGAGCAAACCGTGCTCCCTCCTGTCTTTCAAAGGCATTTGATCAGTGCTCGGGGTTCCTCCACTTTGCAAGGATTCCACTGTAGCCGCCTTCTGAAGGAAAAATATATGCGTGTATACAAAGCATCCCTTCACGCCATCAGCGTGGAGATCACTGGCAAGGGACAAGAGAGGATTGTCATTTAGCAGGGTTTGCAAAATGAAATTCACCCAGGACTCAGCATGCCGATGTGTCTGGAGGGAGATGGCCCAGGTCAGAGTTATTCAGTGGGATGGATGCTGGCAAGCCAAGGGCAAGAGATTTGCATAATGCATTGGATTAGGAAGCAGCCCAAATAACTGCGGGGATAGGTGCACAGATTTTGCTCACACAAGCCTGGGGGTGGAAGGTGGGATGAAGGAGGGGGGCGGGGAGGGAGCAAAGAGGGAAAGGAGACAGGTCCAGGCCTCTGATCCCCTGTCTTCAGGAGAAGGTCTCACTTCAGAATCAGAGACTACCAAGTTCATCCGCAATCAAGGATTAGCATAGGTTGATAAGGTCAGGGGTAAGAAACCACGAGCATGGAAGATAGCTGCTTCCTGCCTCCCATAGCCCCCTGCAGGAAAGCGCCGTTCAATCTACCTCCGCCAAGCTGGACTCTATGATCAGTCCTACAGAGACTGGCATAAAGGTTTTGTCAAAATACACATCTGCAGGAAAGCATAGTATTAGTCACACGGGCCCTGGCATCCGCCTGCCTGGGTTCATCCCTCTGTCGTGTACCAGCTGATCCGATGGCCTCAGTCTTCTCATCTATAAAATGGAGTCATGATAATCTCAGAGAGTTGCAAGGATTAAATGGGCTTCCCCCTTCTGAAGTTTGAAGAATAGTGCCCGGCTTGTGGTCCATGCTCCATAAAAGTCAGCTATTATCACTAGCTACATGGATGTTTTGGTGGCCTCTGATATGCCAAACGTTCTACTAGGTTCTGGAAAATAACAGCAGTAGGATCGCAAATATCCATATGGGTCTCTTCCCTTCCCCAGAGCCTCTCCACTGCCTTGCTCTTCCTTGCATTTGCACAACCATCCCCATGAGACGGGGCAAGTCCTAGACCCCCATTTGTCCATGTGGAGGGACTGAGGCTAGTAAGTGCCGGGGCCTGGACAAAGCCACGACTGCTAACGCTTCTATACTGGTACTGCCTCACACTGGCCCTAGAGCAGATCAGACCACCAAGGTCTGCCTCGGGCCGTTAAGTAACCCTGGGATGTTCATGTTCTCTGAAACGCTCCCGGAGCACTCACATACGGGACAGCTGATGTGCTAGCAGCAGCCTGCTTACACGCCGAACAAACGTGGACCAAGCCTGTGTTTCATACCTAGCACGGCGCTAATGAAACGTTCACCCCTGTCAACTAGCTGAGGAGAACCAGGGCTTCCCCAGTGACCGCCGCTGGGATTGCTGTTCTCACAAGGTTTGCCCGGGTGCCAAGGGATCATTTCTAACCAGTAAAGCAGCACCCAGGGCCTCTCCTGAGATGTCACTTGTTGATCCTCTTGCTGTTACTGTGCGACGTCAGGAGAGACTCGATGTCAAGAAAATAAATCTTAGTTCTCATCAGAACTGGCCTTTCACCATGGTTAAATGGAGCTTATTCTCAAAGACAGGGCAAATCACTTGGACCTTCACAAGGGTTGTACTTGTCTTGACAGTTTTTAAATGCTAATTTATTGCTATTATTGGTTTTAAAGAGGATCATCAGGCAACCCTGAGCCGAATTCCCAAGCCTTTAGGGCCTGGGTTCTAATTCCCCAGGTCCCCAACCCTTATTATTGTCTTCCCAATGCTGAGGCCTGGGGTCAGTGGTCATTGACCACCATATGCTGGGTCTCCTTTATTGTTTCGTTACCTGCTTGAAGAGAACTGAGTTTTGACCCCCTTCCCTGACCTCATCCCCACCCTGACACAGCCCCCATCAAAACGCCATCGAAATCTCTTCATTGGAATTTTCATGAACATGCAGAGGGTCCACAGATTATGGGCATCACGGACTAAGTACTCTCCACCCCAAATTGTAGCCCAAATTCTGTACACATGCACCTACGAGCATTTCTCTGAGGAGAACACAACTTTGCATCAGCTTCTCGAAAAAGTCCACGGCCCACAAAAGCTTAAGAGCCCACAGAACTTGAGCCTGGTTTCCCAGAGGACTCAAATGATGAATGATAAAGACCAAATGGCAAGTGGGAGGCTGGGGTGGGGAGGGCACCAGCAAGGTGGCCACAAATGAAAGCAAGGCTATGTCTGTCCCTGGGACCCCCCCCACATGTCTCCCCATCCCACTACCCACAACCTCAGCCCAGGCTGGGAGCCCCAGTGATCCTGACTGCCCTCTTTGGCCCCACCCAGGCTCAGAGGATTACCGCAGCAGGTTCAGCAGTGAGTGCTTCATGGACCTTGTATGCCCCGAGAAGTGCCGCTGCGAGGGTACCATCGTGGACTGCTCCAACCAGAAGCTGGCCCGCATCCCAAGCCACCTCCCCGAATACGTCACTGACCTGTAAGTACTACCTGGGCTGGAACTCCCTACACTGCCCCTAGCACCCCGTCACCCTGAGCCAGTCGGGGCAGGGTCTCTGGGAGGCAGCCCCCCTCCCGGCTCAGTCACATGGATGCTCCTTGGCCATCCTCCGTGTCCTCAGCAGAGGATAGACACCCAGGCACCCCCCCGCCCACCACCATCAGGAACAGTTTCCTCAAAAATAAAAACCACTAGTTCATTCGACAGATATTTTTGAACACCCACTGTGAGCCAGGCACGGTGCTAGGTCCACCAGCTTCCACAGTGCACAAAGCAGACAGTCCCTCCGGGTCCTTATGGAGCTTACTACATAACAGAAAGATGGTTAGTAAATAGTTGTCAGAGTCGAGAAAACACTGGAATGATGAGCTATATCTGAGCCTCCAGCTATACATGCTAATGAAAGGGTACCCTGGTTTGTCCGGAAATGGGAGAGCTAGAGAGCTACAGCATGGTAGGGGTGAGGGCACGACATGTGCGGGACGGACGGACGGACATGTGACCCTGGTCATCTTGACTTTCCTCTCATTGGGCAAGTTTCTTCTCAGACCTCGGGATGGTACGAACCTCCTAGGGGTTTAAGAAGATGAAGCAAGAGAATGCAAGCACGGAATTCATCTTGACTCATGCGAGGAGTGAGCTCCGCATAAATAATGGTGGTCTTAGTGGCGTTCGTGCTGGTGTTCTCTTTGACTTACACATCCCAGTAGCACACGGCCAGGCACAGCCTTCTGGGCCCTTGTGCCTTCCCTGAGTTTTCCCTGGCTCCACTGACCTTGGCTGAATGTGAGGGCCAGGTGGCAACTCAGTTCAAGCCATGGGGGAGCTGGGGAGGATTCCATGGAGGGCGGAGGAGGAGGCGCCCCCATCCCCAGCTAACCCACCACCTCACCTCTTGTTTCTCATGTAGGCGACTGAACGACAATGAGCTATCTGTTCTCGAGGCCACTGGTATCTTCAAGAAGTTGCCCAACCTGCGGAAAATGTAAGTCAGCCCCGGGCACTTGGCAGCAGCCTGCAGGCCTGGCCAGGGTCCGTGCTGCAGACTAGAGCAGAAGGCCAGGTTACTGGGGGCTCCCTCACCCTCTGGCCCAGACCCTCCCAGCCTCCTCCTGCCCCCACTATGGCACGTATCTTTGAAGCAGGACAGTAAGGCACAGCCATGCAGAGACAGACCAAAATGAAACTTCACTGTTTGGGGTTGGGTTGTTTTTTTTTTAAATAAAGATTTTATTTATTTGAGACAGAGAGAGCAAGAGCGAGCATGAGCAGGGGGAGGGGCGGAGGGAGAGGGAGAAGCAGACTCCCCGCTGAGCAGGGAGCCCGATTCGGGGCTCGACCCCAGGACCCTGATATCCTGACCTGAGTCAGGAAGGCAGATGCGTAACCGACTAAGCCATCCAGGCGCCTCAAAACTTCACTGCTTTTAAATTGCCAAGTATTGTGCAGAGCGTGCATTTGGCACCATCCCTAATCCTCACTCCAGGTGCCCTCTGCTCATCCTGACCTTCCACACCCAGCATCTACCCCAAGGGGTGGCAAGAGGAACTCAGGTAAGGACCAGCAATGGGACACAGGAGTCTAGGGTACATGTACGTCACTCAGGACTTTTTACAAGGTGGCAATTAAAAGTTCTGTTATTAGATGGCCTTTACAGGCTTCTGCGTGGGTGAGGCACATTGGAGCAGAAATGCTAGATGTCTTGCACACTGGGCTTCAGTCTAGGTGTCCCTGGATGTGACCAGAGCCTGACCTTAGGCAAAGGGCCCACATGCTTACATTGGCTTCTCCAGTGCCAGAGCTGCCTGTCCTCATAACCCCCTCCCTGCCTCCGAGGTTGGGCCAAACAAGAATAATGTGACTGAGCTAAGGGAGCGTTTGTCCTGGGCCAGAGGCCACATTCCCTGCCTCATGCACATCAGCTCATGTAGTCCTTGTACACCTGCCTGGTGCTGGCCTCATATTCCCCTTCATGTGGGTGAGGAAGCTGGCAAGGCTTCTCTAAGACCACACAGCCGATCAGTGTCGGAGCTGGTACTCAGACTGGGGTTCATCCATAGTCACACCAGTGTGCAGTTAGGCTTGCTTCCTGCTCATCTTCCCTTCCCAGGGCCCTCACAGAGGTACCAGCACAGACAGGGGCTCTCTACCCTCTGATTCCCTTCTCCTCGGCCCCTCTCCCTGCGCCCACCCCAGGCTCCACACCTCCTGGCCCCAGAGTTGGGTTCAAAGGAAATAGAGTCAAGCCTCCTTATTCGCAAATCCCATATTTGCTAATTCACTTACTCGCTGAAACTTCTTTGTAATCTCAAAATCAGTACTCACAGTGCTTTCATGCTCATTTGTAGACACGGACAAAACAGCAGAAAATTTGAGTTGTCCTGCATGCCTGTCCTCAGCTGATATCCAACAAGGCTGTGCTCTGATTTTTTGTTTCCGCTCTCGGACTGTAAACAAGTGTCCTTTTCACAGTGTATTTGGTGCCACATCTTTTTGCATGTTTATGCATTTTGTTGGTGGTTTTGCTGTTTAAATGGCCCCGATACATAGTGCTGCTAGGCTGTCTAGCCTTCCAAAGCACAAGAAGGCTACGATGTGCCTCGTGAAGAAAATATGTATGTTACACGGGCTTTGTTCAGACTCGAGTAATGGTCTACAGGCTGTGAGTGCCATGTAAATAAATCAACCACATATATTAAATAAGATGTCTTTAAACAGAAACACACATCAGACAAGGTTATGTACTGATCAGCTGATGACAATGTTGTGACCAGAGGCCCACAGGAACTTAACCCTGTGTTTCCCCTAGGAGCCGTGGTTCAGCATTCCCTAATTCAGTTTCCCCGTGACTTTGTAGACTATAACTACCGTGAATAATGAGAACTGACTGTAAACCTTTTTTTTTTTTTGTCATGTTCTCCACTCTTCCACCCATCAGTCCCCTGCAGACAAGAAGGAGAAAGACCTTCCCCTGCCCTGGGCTGCACCCCCCTCCCTCCCTGCCCACAGCCACCACCTTGCCCACGTCCTCAGTGACTGCTCTGTAACTGGGAGCAGGAGAGAGCACTCTGAAGGCACAGAGGAGAGAGGGACACATGTGGGTCCTGGTGAGGATTGTGGCTGTCTGTGTGGTCAGGCTTCGGAAACTGAGCACAGACATCACCCATCACCTGCAAGGAAATGTCCTGTTTAATTCAAACCTGAAAAACACATACTGTTTTAAACCTCAAAACAGTAACTTCCATGTGTATGGAGAGAAGGCAGGTATTTAAATGAGTAAGGCTGGCCAAGTACATATCTGCATAGTAAACAGGACGAAGTAATCTTTGCTTCCACAGAGAGACATTACCCTCCCGTGTGAGGTGAAGCTCACACACTTTGAGTCTCTCTCCCATCTTCTCCCTTGCGACAAGGAAGGGAGAATAGAGAACCGTTTCTGTGCACCAAGAAAAACAACCACACAAACACAATGGTAAGTGACCACCAACTCCCAGCCTCAGCATCCAAGCCACAAGAGAGTGGTGGGGACCGTGGCAAAACACAAATCCAGTTCTCGCTGAAAGGGTCGAAGGTCACTGGGTTTGTCCCAGTGTTTGCTGTGCTGGAATGAAGGTCCCGGCTGCCAAACATTCCCTGTAGCAGCCAGCAATCCAAGCGCGGCAAAGAACAGACCTGCATTTGTTCTCAGTTCAGCTCTGTCCCCCTCCTGCTGTGTCACCCTAGGATTGTCCTTAGCCTTGCTGAGCCCTAGTTACATTATTTGCATGGTAGAAAGAAATCTACCTTCCTTATAAGTTATGATGAGGATCAGAAATAAGTATGAAAAGGGGCGCTTGGGTGGCTCAGTCGTTAAGCATCTGCCTTCAGCTCAGGTCCTGGTCCCAGGGTCCTGGGATCGAGCCCCGCATCAGGCTCCCTGCTCCGCGGGAAGTCTGCTTCTCCCTCTCCCACTCCCCCTGCTTGTGTTCCCTCTCTCGCGGTGTCTCTCTGTCAAAATAAATAAATAAAATCTTAAAAAAATAAAAAATAAATAAAATAAAATCCCATTCAAAAAAAAAAAAAAAGAAGTAAGTATGAAGAGGTCAGTGAAAGACACGCCACTGAACGTGGACCTGGGATGAAAAGGAGCAGGAAGACAGAAGAGCACATCTGGGTTGAGTGACCCAGGGTAGCTAGCTATATATTTAAAACAGGAGTTGCAAGTTCAGATACTTTCAAGATCCAGAGAGTAGCACAGTTGTGGAAAGGAACTTGGTGCATGGCAATAATTAATACTAATAATACTACTAACAGCAGCTAGCCACTGACGGTTACTAGACACTTCACTCTGGGCCAGACTGTACTGACATTAATTCATGTAACTCTCGCCAAGAAAAGCAAAAAAGCTTTGAGATTGTTACATTTTACAAATAAGGAAGCTGAAACACAGAAAGTTATGTAACTTATCCAAGGTTAAAACTCAAGCAGCAGAGCCAGGAGTGGTAACAGTGCAGATCAGCTGGGGAATGCATGCCCCACCTGAAGGCAGTAATTACATGTGTGTGCACATGTATGTGTGCATAAATTCATATTCGTAGTACTAGCCAACCAAGCAAATGCCGAAGGAACAGATCTGGTCCCAAAGGCCACCAGCTGTAAGCACTTATTTAAAATAACTTGATGGCAGCTCTTTTTTTAAGTAAAGGGTCTTAACTGGGACCCATCACCATCCCAACATCCCCATAGAGGTAGTGGGCCAACGGGATCAGGGTCAGGTTAAAGCCAGCTGTGCCTGTGTCCAAGTCTACTAAGCTTCTGCAGGGACTGGGAAGTCAGGGCCCTAAGGTTATGCTCTTGACTTTACCCTGACCGGGCACAGGGGCCGAGGGTGCGGGGGAGTATAAAGCCAGGTGTTGAAACTCTACTGTGCCTTTACCTGTCCTGTGGGAATAATGAGATCTCCAAGAATATCACATGTACTAAGGGATGGCCTCCCCCTCCAAAAAAAATGTATAAGCCATTCCCCAAAAGGATTATTGGTACAGTGGTAACTCCAGGCAACTCTTCAAATGACGTCACATTCAGACTGTGGTCATGGCGTCTCTCAGGCGGACTTTTAGGTCAGTTCCTACGCTGAAGGAGAATCTCAGCCACAGGCTGAAACCTGGCAGCCCTCTAGCCAAAATCAGGTACACACAGGCGAATTTGTTGACCATAGTTGTGTTTTTAGTAAGAATTAGTTGCCCACTTTTAAAAATCAGGAATATTCACAGAAAAAAAAAAATCCAAATTTCTGGCATCTTTTGGAAAATCAGAAGATCTGGTAAAACAGGGTCAAATGGCTGCAGTTGAGTTGAAGTGAGAAGCAGCTCCCCCCACTAAATCAGGCATTGCTTTTCTGGTCACTGGGCTTGTGGACTGTGCTATCCCCCTGAACCTGCTTCCTGCCTTAAGTCACCAGCCTGGACCCTGTGGACATTTGAGCTTGCAGCCCCAGCTGGAAATAGAATTTCCACGTCAGGGAGGGAGAGGTTCATAAAAAGGGTAGACGGGACCTCCCTGACCTGACAGCGTGCCAGAGTGCTTGCTCCATGATGACCCAGTATCCTTAGTTTCTAGAACAAAATCCACTTAGCTCTCTCCCCACTACATTTTCATCTGAGACTGGGCTTTAAACAGGATCACAGATGCCTCCCTGTTGCCAGAGTGCTTGGGCGGTCTTACAAGCCATGGGCTAGGAGAGGCCCAGGCTTGCCTCCTCGGACTCAGGTTTCCAGGGGAAGCCAGACAAGTCCCCAGCCTGCGGGGCCTCATTGTTTCTTGGGACAGCCAACAGCCAGCAGAGGCAGCGGGGACACACACTGGGTTTCTCCTGGCGCTGCCCCTCTGAACTGCCCTCCC